CTCGACACCTTTCATTTAAAACCAAAATTATGAAAACGGTACGTCGACGATCCTTTTGTTATTTGGCCTCGTGGTCAAGAAACCCTAGTAGATTTTTTTAGACACTTAAATTCTAGACACCCCAACATACCTTTTTGCCATTGAGTTGGAAACTAATAATAACCTTCCATTCTAGACATTGGGTCATCGGTGTTTACAGTAAACCTACGCACACAGACCGATACCTTAATGCATGGTCACATCACCATCCGGCCCAAAAATCATCGGTTATCAACTAGGCTCAAAGAACTCGAAAGAGCCTTACAACTAAGACAAATAAACTCATCATCTGTTGCAGAACACACTCATGAAGCCGGACATAAAATTTTATTCGATAAAACTAAAATTCTTGCATGTAATCAGACCTTCTACCAACGAAAAATCCGAGAGTTTATAGAAATTTATAAACAACCTAACAATCTTAACCGCGACTCAGGTATCTACCTGTCTCCAATTTGGGAATCAGATAGGTTCCTTGGAAATTGGCAAAAGAGTTATAAAGAAATTGTTAAACGTATACACATCATATGGTTATTTTTAGAAAAGTTAGATCTTAATACTTTTTGTTATTTGTCAAAAAAACTAAACCACCGTATTTTTTCTTAATCTTAAAGTATCTTCTTTTTAAACTAAAAAAAACAAATTTGCCGATTTTCTTTTTATTTGTTCTTACTTAATAAGATGGTCCGTGAAAAAATTATGTGTTAATATTATTCTTTATAACGTTTTTGTTAAATTTTCAATGGTTTGGTGTAGGAGGAGCTGACACCATAAATTAAAAAAAAACAAGTGTTTAAAAAGAATTAACAATATGGGAATCAGTCATCCGAGACGGTGTTTATGCCCCCCATTTAGCTCCGCCCCCCTCAAACAATATATAAGCAGGTACAGGGTCAAATACGAGCCAGTTTCAGTCAAGCTCTGAAGAAGAAAACCTCAGAAATTTTGACTCAGCAAAAACCGACGCAGGAGGAATCCAATTTGTAAAAAGTATTACAGTGGCCTGTGGAACTTTTTTTTTCAAAAATTTAGATAAATGGAATTAAAAAGTCTAAATTAAATTACAAAATCTCAAACACTAATTAAGTCCATTTACTTTTGGAAGACCTTGATATCTGGGTTCCATTTTTTTATGTCTTGGTGGAACCTTTCTATTTGTTCGATTGATGTGAGTGTAAAAAGCGTAGTTTTGTATTCATATTGAGTCTCCCAAAATTTTGTTTTCTACAATGTCTTTGTAATTTGGATATTTGTTGTGTCCTAGAAAACCTTCTATAACATCAGTAAAAGAAACCCACGCCTCTTACCACCGTTGCCTATTAAATTAGGATTGATGAAGCAGTAGTGGATCAATAAGACTGAAGAATATTTTTTGATCTCGGAGTTTCATCCTGTCTCACTCACATAAAAAACAGCTAGAAGTCTGGATTACAAAATTTTGGTAAGATCTTTAGTTATTAAGTTATGAATGTGAAAATAACTGTGGTTGCTGAGTAACACTCCACATATCTCCAACATCACCAAGGGTATCTTCATCTATTTCAGGTTCCGGAAAACTGGTCGTATCTTCTTCTAAATGGGCTGGAGTCTTATGAGCTGTGTGGCACTGATCTAATCGCAGACTTGCAATACAGAAATAGTAGTCATGACGGTGATTTCTTGGCTTTCTCCATATCACAGGTATTCCAAAAGGTTGTTCCATTATTCCGATGTCTTTAACCTCTTTTTACAAAACTTCTGGATTCCTCCTGCGTCAGTTTTTGCTGAGTCGAACTTGCTGACGTTTCGCCAATCATCCTGTTGGCTTCTTCAGAGCTTGACTGAAACCTCCTTCACAAACCTTGTAAACAAAATGTGTCTTGATCACAATTTTATTAAAATAAGCGTAGTATTGTTTTTTAAACAAGGGTGTAATTTTATGTCTAAATTTCACACAAAATGACACATAGCAAAACGTAACTGGAACATTGTCACATTTTACATTACATTTTAAAGGGAAATTTAACTACACAATGCTCACCAGTGTTGAGCAAACTTTGATTTTTATTTAAAAAAATCTTTTTACTTATTTTTTTTTATTTTCATTGTTTTTTTTTATTTCCTAAGAATATGTATTTTCCGTTTTTTTTTTGTAGCAATGAAAATATATGTTAAAGGCACTATAAACAATATAGTACAATATACACAACAAGCAAGAAAAAGCCTCAGCAAGAAACGAATATAGGTTGATAAATAATATTTTGTTTTATTATTACTTATTTCATTTTTATTTAACTTTCCATGTCGTAGAAGGTGGACATATGGTATTCACAAAAACGTTTACAAAAGAATTAAGGCTTTTATTATTGAAAAAATGTCAGTTTTTGTCTTTTCTTGCTAAAATTTAAATGCATGCATATTTTATTTGTGTTAATGTCCATAATTGTTAGATACTAACTTATTTTTATTTTTTACGACAAATAAAAAAGTATTTGGTATTCATATCGTATAATTTCTTTATCTTAGGAAAGAATGTACACGATTTTCAACGTATTTAAAAAAAAGTTAGGCGTATAAATTTTAATAAAATACAATAAATCCTCTAATTTTTTACAGTATCCAATTTTAGTATCCAATCAGTCTGGTTTCCGTCATCAACATTCGTAGGAGTCTGTGATTTCAATTTCCTCAAAGCTGTTGATAGTAATAATCTTAAGCAGGCATACGAGGTTCGGTTTTAAATTGGTTCAGATCTTATCTGTATAACAGAACCCAAAAAGTTAGATATGAAAATAGTGTGTCTGATACAATGTATGGAGTGCCGCAAGGAACTGTACTGAGGCCTCTATTATTCCTATTGTATATTAATGACATAGTTAAGGTAATTAACGATAGCAAAATCGAATTATTCGCAGATGATACAATGTTATATATAGTTGGTAGTGACACAGATTAGATGAAACGTAGTATTAATAGTGATTTGAACAGAATATATGAATCGTTATTTAAACACAAACTTAATATTAACACGACAATTTTGTATTTTTGCGAAAAAACAAAAATTGATTAGATTAGAATCAGAACTAACGCTACGACCGATTATGTAATGATAAAATTTTCACAAAAAGTATTATTTATGTGTAGAATAGGCCACAGTCTTTCCATGTACACCAAATACCTTTTATAAAACAGCACTGCGGCACCTCTTCTTAAATTTTGCTCCACACTCCTGTATAATTTACTTACTCATAAATAAAGTTTCAAGTAATTCAAAATAGAGCATTAAGATCGATCTTAAATTGTAACAGATGCACTCTTGTAAACGTAATGTCGAATGTTGTTAACGTCATGACGGTTAAACAAGGAAATATTAATGATGCAAATATTTTTATGTATAACTTAGGAAATCAACTATTACCTGATTACATCTGCGATAAAGTAAAATATTTTAACAGCGTGCATAGTTACCATACGAGAAACCGCAATGATTTTTAGTAGATAGGTATTGCTCTAGCCAAATACCTTGAAAAATCGTGATAATTTCAATAACTTTTAAACTATGTTGAGGAAATATGTGAATTTTTGATTTTAAGTATAAATCACGATTGGGAATCTCAGAAACTATATCTTAATTTCAGGGATTCCGAGCTAATATTCTGCTAATTTATGCAAAATGTCTGCCAAAAAACAAAACAATATCTCAACATTTAAAAAAAGTGAAAATCTAAAGACCACAGTTCCAAAAGCTTCCTAAATTCCACAAGTCGGAAATGTGCTCTTATTATGTCAGTATTTTCTTTGCATTTACACAAATTCTATGTTTGTTGCCGCCATATTTAATAACAGTATAACATTAAATAAAAGTATATATTTATAACTCGTCATTTATTTTAAATTTTTGATATTTTTTGTTTTTGGCGAAGGAACTAAAAAAATTGAAGATCAACTTCGTTCAAGAAAAACCAAATTGACGCATAAATTATTATTATTAAGTATATGAGTCTAACAACATTTAAAAAAAATGGAAATCTAAAGACCACAAATTATGCGGCTTCAGTTCCAAAAGTCTCCTTAATTCTACAAAATATGAAAAATGCGGGATCACAAAATCTTTGTTGACCTGGTTACACCGAACAGAATGACATCCGATTATGGTTAAATTGCTTATTGTTGCAAGAGATTTTCGAAACAGTTTATTTCCTTTTAATTCGAACGTATTTATACCATTCCAGTTATTCGGTAAATGGTTTTTATTTCGGATCGGCGCATTTCAAACACTTCTCGCGTTATTAAAATAGATTAAGTCTCTACCCAGGCCTAGCTTAAACCTCCGATAATAATTAAGAAGTCGTAGCGCACGCATGGCAGCCATACACCCAGTTATAGCAATTATAATTATGCCTACCTACTTGAATCTTATTCGGTAAATTGTCTAAACGGCTAAAAAACGCGGCGCGCCTCCTGATCAACGTCGAATTATTTCGGTATTTAAGTTATTAATCATACGCATGCAGAAAATACGAAATCATCGCGAACACATGATAACGGTAAACAAGCAGCTAAACAGAAAACATAACCTAAAAGCGCGCGGCAGATTAACAAACAATTGAGCGTCGTGCGTGTGATTGCAAATGCCCGACGGTCGAATAATATTCCTTTTAAACCCGAATCGTCCAAAATTAACAACAACAACAACAACGATCGACTTACAACAAACAACGGTGTCCGAAAATTGTTGCGCGTCAAGTAAGAACGGCAAACAAAAGAGCGTACACTCCCCGAACGTGAAACCGATAAAAACACCGAAATGAGTAATCAGAGTAATTTTTACAGTGTGCATCCGGCCGCGATGTAACTGCACGTACAATGTGAGACGGAGAGAGGCAGAGAAGCGAGAATGAAAACCTCTCCTGGTCGTTTACGGGGGGTACCGTGCACGGCGGGAGGGGGGTTAGCAAAGCAATCGGACTGACACCAAGCCTAGGTCCGGCCATCTTGTAACGACGAAGCGCTGTTGTCCGCAAAACACCCCCGAAATCTCGGATTCCGCGTGAAATAATTAGTGCAAACCGTACGTGGACGTTTCCGTGGGTGCCGTATGTGCGTACAGACGTCCGGCTCACGTGTACCGAGCGTAAAAACAAACTCTCATTGACTTTGCTGGATTTCCGATTGTTTTTCTGTGTTACATTTTTTGTGTGAGTGTGTCGTAAGTAGTTGGATCTTCCCACGGAGCGACGCCGAGTACACCAACGGATATTATTCTAAATTACGATCGACGGTAAGTCAGCGGGTGATCGTTAACAATCAGAACGTCGGTGTGTTTTCAATAAGCGGCTCTTTTAAAGAAAAATGTTGCAAATTCGCGTACGGGACACACACACGAGGCACGCCGGTATCGAAACCGACGATTGATCCGGGTAGGCGATGAGGACGAACAAAGCGATTTCGCACACAGGATCCTGTAAATTTACAAACACGAAAGTGCTGATACAATGACATTCGGCTCGAGATAAAATTAGCGTGCGTCCGTCATTTTTGGCTTAGATATTTAAACCGAAATAATTGAACATCGACGATCCGGAAATATCTTCGAAAATGCTCCCCCCCCCTCCTGGTAAATTTTATGAAATACTTGCATGTGTTTAAATTTTAGTCAACGCCTCGCGATGATTTCGGCGTTCCTGTCTACCTATTTGTGAGCGTCGACTTTGCGTACACACACACACCATCTGCCTATTACTCTAGAAAGTGTACGTGCGGGCATTGAACGTTTTTATTTGGTCGATTGTATGCGACCCGATATTGGGAATAAAGCACACTTTTTTTTTTCGGATTCTAGTTATCGACTTGAAACGACTACGTACGCTGTCTCATGATTTATTGCCTTTACTCGATTGGATGGTGCTATACGCGGTATACCGATTACAACGGCTGTAGAGAAAGATTCTACCAGGTGAACCGCCAGATAAAATGTCTACTTATCCAAAATAAAAGTGCCTCGCATGGTGTCATTTAACCGTGCGCCGAATATGCGGGATGTTTTTAAAAAAAAATCAAAAATTCGGTCGAAAGTGTTTTGTTTCTTTGTTAAAATTTTACAAAATTTTTTTCTTTAATGTCTCAGCACTTGATTTAACTAAAGATCTATGAGGGCGTTAAAAATAATTTAAATAATTTGTAGATTGATTAGGTGCGAGGGGCAAGTCACCAACCAAAATTGGTACACCAGATTTCACAAAAAGACAAGATTTCACACATTCATAAATGATTTACCATATTTCAGCGATTTTGAAAAACCCTTTGTAGGTTATGTGTCAAAAATTCTGGTATTCCGCCGTAATTAAGAAACAATTAAGTAAGTGGAAAAGAGTAAATTTTCTTCGTTTCTTCTTTTTTTCTTCAGGTTTAATTATTATAATTTTTTTCATTTCGCGTTTAGTTAGCAATTTCGATTAAAATAGACAAGAAGCGGAGGAAATATTTTTTAGGACCTGATCCTATACCTTATAACCTTAAAAATGAAAAGTGAGTTTGTTGAATTCAACAAACGAAGAGAGAATGATATATAAAAAAATACACTTAAAACTCTTTTTCGTAAAGCGGAAAGAGTATTGACAATTTCTTTTTCTTTATTTAGGTTTTATTTTTTTTTCCAGTTCATTGTTTAACATATTTAGTTCGCAATGTCGATTATAATTCTTAATTTTCTATCGATAAAATTACAATTAAAGCCATAAAAAAACAGAGGAAATATGTTTCATGAACTTATATTATAACCCTAAAAATAAAAAGTGAGTTTGTTGAGGTCAACAAACGAAGGGAGTATGATATATAAAAAATACAGTTAAAACTTTTTTTCAAAATGTGGGAAACAGTATTGTCATCTTAAATTCAATGAAATTTTGTTTTTTTTTTCAGGTTTAATGCATTTTTTTCATTTCATATTCATATTTAGTTAGTAATTTCTATCGATAAAAAAATTAAAGCCAAACAGAAAAAAAAGCGGAGAACATATGTTTTATGACCTTATCTTATAACCTTAAAAATGGAAATGAGTTTGTTCAGTTCAACAAACGAAGGGAAGATGATATTCTGAAAAAAGTTGTCATGGGTGAATCATGATTTGATTGAACACTTCAAAAAATGTAAATGAAATGCTAAAAAGTGAAAATTTTAGAAATCATCTACTATGTGATTTGCTCCTCGATTAAGTGTTATTTTTATTTTTTTAACAACTAAATTAGCAATTTATTAAATGTCTTAGAAGCATTTACTGATTGATTATATAAACCTATTTTTATTCTTGCATTTATTTGACAAATATCCGAGTCCTTATCATTAATAATTATAACGTCTTAATTGTGAATGTGATTTGAAATATTATATCTACATGCGTTTTCTATTGGTTACTCGGCTGCTTATTTAAAAAGCTTTCTGATTAAATTTACAATTACAATTACAATTCTTAATAGTTAAACTTCTAATCGTGGGAATTTATAGCCCTCAATTATACGGAAGAGCCTTAAAACTTTGAACCAAAGTGCTTGAATTTTGCAAAAAAATTTATTGCCATACGTTTGGAAAAACTTATCACTCTGCGTCTCAAAAGTTCAAACGTTTAGGATATAACGAGCATACTCGGGGATCCCCTTGGTTAAGTGGTGAGGTAAGGAGGGGAGAGGTCACCGTCATCAAGATAATACCAGCTGGACAGTTGCTGCTAGACACTTTCTTCCACAAGTTAATGGGTGGTTGTTGTGGCCTGCAAGGTCACCGCACTTATCACTCGACGACGCGTCGTGCAAGGATCGTCCGTAGCCTTGCACCCTATTTACCCAAAGGATGGATTAGTATGAGCCACTAATTGATTTTAAAAAAAATAATTTTGTTGGCCCCAAAAAGGAAGGATTATCTGCGTCACTGGTTGTAGAGAAGTAATGACAGTCAAGTACCGTTAAAAATACACATCAAAAATACATTCTCATTTCACCAAATGGTTAAGTATTTTCTCATTTGAAGTTATTTTTGAATGCATTTAACGAAATTGCTATAATATTTGTTAACTGTCGTTGAAAGAGAAAAATTACTCAAAAAAAAACACACGCTAGACGTCCATGTTGCTTCAAACATCGCCCCATGTTATTTACTTGAATTTATAATTTATTGAAAGAATAAAATTAATTCGGAAACCGATAATTATGTAGCATATAGAAAATGTTCATTTACGCGTGCTTTAAAATTCAGAGATATATGCAAATCATATTTTATTCATATCGTATTAGTATATGCTGCATCTCAATCACTTTCATGTTCAAGTCGCACTAGACCATTCAGTTGTAACTTGCGTTTCCCGAGGACTATCCAAAACACACACAACCATAGGATTTCACAGATTTTACAAAGAAATTAATCGATTCCAGATTTCACACAGTTTATGGATTTTCAAATGATTTGTACAAATTTAACTGATTTTGAAAAAAATTAATAAATATATTATATTAATAAATTACTAAATATGAAAAAAATATAAAAAATACGCGTATTTTATAACCTCTTTTTAAAAAATATATGGAGTTGTCCCAGTGTTAGTATTAAAAAAAAAAAATTAAAAAGATAAATAAAGTAATAAAAAAAAAACATGTTTTTATTCTATCTCTACATTTTTTTTTCCTCAGATTTTTCTTTTTTATTTACTTTGGAAGTTGAATAAATAGATGTAATTTTTTATGAGTACCTTGTGTATGTTTCCATCATATACAGGATGTCTCTCTGGGACCGTCGATCTGATATAGCAACTATATCTTAATTAATTGTTAAAATGATAAATAAAGTAATAAATAAATCCATTTTTTTTATTCTGTCTCTTAATTTTTTTCTTTTTCTTCAGATTTTTCTTTTTTATTTACTTTGGAAGTTGAATAAATAGAAGTAATTTTTTATGAGTACATTATGTATATTTCGTTATATGTATACATCATATAGCTATATGTATACATCATATAGCATAGCACCTGCAGTTATTTTAAATAGAACAATTTTTTCTTATTATGACTTTAACTACGTAGTTTTCTTTCAAGAAAAGCGCACGTTTAAGACATTTACTAAAGAGTTTTGATAATTACAATGAAAGCCGGAAATAATTTTGAATCTTACGTTGACTGAATACTCCAAAACGTAGTGTTCGCTCTCAATCATTAAATTGGCGTTTATCTAAAACGCTATCTCGGGTGCTAAAGAAATGCTACTAAAACTAACCAAAACTAATAAACAACTTAACACTATTTCATCAGTTCTATGTTTGTGGACAGTATTCAGATGGCGTACTTTCAACATGATTCATTAGACGTTTAATAAATCTCAAGATGGCGCTCGAGTCATATAAATTGAAATTCAAAAATTCGTAAAATTTGAAAGACCAAAGTTGTTGAACCGGAATTCAATGTCAACTTGAAACGTTAACGAAAGAGGTGGCAATTTTTTTAGTTTGTTCATAGAAATAAAAATTTATGAGGTATTTAGTTTAAATTATTTATTGCGACAACAAAAATTAATAATTTATAGATTGATTTTAGAAATGGACATGACATTTAGCTGATATATTGTAGGGTCTCTCCGAATGACAAATTATATTATATAAAAGATATGATAAAATATGTTTATGATCACATAAATAATACAAAATTTTCAGTATTTATTATTAATTAATCACCAGTGCATGCATGACATAAAAAATCATAGACATCAAAGACATAGACATGCGATGCGATTCAAAAAGGACAGTAGTTGTCTTTCCGTTCCAGTGAAACACAGTGATAGGGTTGACTTGTCTCTGAGTGAGGCTATTATCTATATCTCTTTGATAGATAAGATTATAACTAAATAACAGTTTCAAATAACTCTGGATTCTATTTTTCCCATATTAAACACAGAACCCAAAATTTATAAAACAATAAAATTCATAGGAGAACCTTGCAAGAAAATTTCAACCAACGTTTGTCTAAATTTGGTATTAAGATTGCTTTTAAAACTGATTTTTTTTTTAAACAATAAAACGAAATCATGAAAAGCTCAAAAATCTACATGTGTGGATCATGTTTCAAAATTTATATCGGACAAACAATTCAGAATATGTAAGAATATTAAAGGGCGTATAAAAATAAAAATTCTGATTCTAACTATGCCATTCATTTAAGTAAACGCACAAATTTGACTATAATTTTGATATTCTGATTACACTGGTTTAATTGTTTATATGTAATATATTTATCTTGTTTGTAC